TGTGCTCTCTGGGGGAATGTAGGCAGAGATGATGTGGGCCATGTCCAGAACTCCTCATGAAACCACTTCTACTCGCACAGTTATTCATGCCCTCTCTGTATTTTTGTTAGCAATCTTGGAAGTCAAGTGATGAAAATGGCAGTAACAAAATCGAAGGATCAGAGGTTTCTGCATGACTGTGTGGTCAACAGCACTATCAACTGGACAATGATGTGAGAGTTATAAGTCTTTATTGCATTGTCACTGACATTTGTTTTTTTGTTACCGTAGTTAGCTTATACTGCCTCATACACTACCTTTTAACCATGACTAAGTATATTCAATATAGCTACTAATAACATCATGCTGGCATTTTCAATTTCTTCTGCTTTTAAGGAGTCAGACTTATTACTGTATTTTACAAGTTGCAATAACTACTAGATTAGTTTAGGAGAAAATGTTTTTTGCCAGTCTATGGAAATTAACAATGGTTCTGTTTTCAACAGGGACAAATGAACCATTATTTGCCTTAATGCAAAAATCAATTATACATGAATTCTTTCTTCACAATGCTTTATTTTTATAACAATGAATTCTATCTAGAGAAATAGACTGTGAGAATCTAAGTGATACTGTTACTTAAGTTGGCTCAGATCTGAAAGGTTTTCTTGTACTTTTGCCATAGTTATTTTAAACAGATGAAACACCAACCTTTGGCAACATGTAACAAGAATTGAAAGAAATATAATTATGAGAGGGTAATTGTAGTGGATTCGTCAGATCACCTGTAGAGGGAGTGCTGGCCAAGTGTTATGTGCTTGAAGACTCTTAAAAAGTACAGAATCGAAGGCTGAGGCGGAAGGATCGCCGGAGCCCAGCAGGTCGAGGCTGTGGTGGCCGGGAGTGGCCACTGCACTCCAGTCTGGGCGACAGAGTGAGACTCTAACTAAAAAAAAAAAAAAAGAAGTCAATACTTGGGTACTAGGAGTACTAAGGCTTTGGAGGACTCGATGCACCTCAGCCTCCCAGGGAACAGCTGGGAACTACACACACACACACACACACACACACACACACACACACACACACACACCATTTCCATTTGTATTTATGGACATAGCTTTATATGTACAAATCCATAAGGGCACACCCATCACTCCAGTTTTAATCCTGTACTATAGAATTTATTCTAATTTTCTTTCTCACCATGACAGTGGAGAAACCTGGCTCCCATTGTCTTTGGCAGATTTATTTACTCCATTAGTGTCCTTGCATGTAAAAATCTCCCACCACTGCCACTACCCCTCTCCCTCCCTCCTTTCCTCGCTTGGACTCCAGCATTCCAGGCAGAGCCTTAGCTTTCTCTGGTATACTCTCTCCACCCTACTGGGCTCTGACACCCCCCACCAGTTCACTCTTCCAGGAAACAGTCTTCCAGTGCTCCTCTGACATGGTTCTGGGGCACCACAGCTTCTCCTTCCCTCACTGTGGTCACCACTTTTGCTATGCCCCACTTTATGGCTTTAGGACAGGACTGTTGAGAAGGGGAATGCAAGAAGGGAAGGACTCCCCTGTACTTTTTATTTTTTGAGTCGAAGCTTCACTCTGTTGGCCAGGCTGGAGTGCAGTGACATGATCATGGCTCACTGTAGTCTCAAACTCCTGGGCTCAAGCACTCCTCCTGTCTCAGCCTCCCAAGTAGCTGGAACTACAAATGCACACCATCATACCCATCTAATTTTTCTATTTTTTGTAGAAATGGGGTCTTACTTTGTTGCCCAGGCAGGTCTTGAACTCCTGGCCTCAAGTGATCCTCCCACCTCAGTCTCCCCAGGTGCAGAGATTACAGGCGTGAGCCACCATGTTTGGCCCTTGTATTTTTTAACCAAAAAAGAACTTAAGTACATAGAGACAGAACCACAAAATAATCATAATGAACATTTGAAACCAGCAGCCCCAGACACTGCTTTACATATTTTATAAAGAAACACCTCTATCCTTTAACAGCTGTGTAGCTTGGGCAAATCCCTTAACCTCACAGAGCCTCAGTTTCCTCAACAGTGAAGTGGGAAAATGAAAGTACTTCCTCACATCGCTGGTTTGAGGCCTCTGAGAGTTAATGTCAGTAACTAGCACCAGCCAGCCCCTGCTCAAGGTAATGTTCAACAGATGCGAGCTCTGACCACTGTCAGCTATTTCTCAGAATCCTAGAAAATAGTGACTTCTTTTTAGAAGGCAGGATCAGGATGTTGGGTGGGTGTTCCCTGGGCAGCAAGGCTCTGAGGCTCCCAGGCCTTCCTCCTTTTGCAGGCTCTTGTGTTTGTTTTAATTTTGGCAGGCCTGCAGCCAAGTCTGGGAGGGTTTCCTGGATAGAGGTCTTTGCGGCTGCTGCCTTAAGACAATCAGCCTGGGCCACCACTGCCACTGCGTCCTGACCAGACCTGCAGCCAGCGGCAACAGCAGCCCTTGCCCGCACAGCAGCATGGAGCTCTGGGGGGCCTACCTGCTCCTCTGCCTCTTCTCTCTTCTGACCCAGGTCACCGCTGAGCCCCCAACCCCCAAGGTCAAGAAGGCTGCAAATGTCAAGAAAGGTAAGGAGGGGGACAGGGCCCCTCCCATCTTCCAGGGAGCAGGTGCCCCTCTCTTTAGTGTCTCCTTCCCTTCATTTTTCTCCTTGATGAGTCTTAGGGAACTTTAGTAACATATCCTGTGGGCCGGGGGACTTCTCTCATGGGTAGGGTGGGGTGGGGGAGGTGTCAGAACCGTAAGGATCCCTCTCTCAGAATTGGAAAGTAACTTCTAGATCATCTAAACTGACCTCTGCTCTGCTGTCCTCCCCGGCCTTCCTCAATATTAAAAAAAAAAAAACAAAAACCCAAACCTTTGGCTTGGCAGTATAAAGATGCTCAATTCTCACCAGGGAGTGCTGCACAGGCTTTGTTGTCGTGTAGCCTCTTTTTTTTCCTCAATTATAAAATGGGGACAGTGGTCTTATCTCAAAGGCTTGTCATGAGGATTTTATGATACAAAATATGTAAAGGCACCTAGCCCAGTGGGGAAAATAAAGAACAATTGAATTCTCAGTTCCATAGTGTATTACAGCCTTAAGGAGGTAAAACTGCTCAAACTCAAAGCAGCTTTGCTCTCCTCCGTAGCCTCAGGGGTTTGGGGTGTCTCTGAGTTGGTTTGGCTGCAGCAGGACCTGCCCTTGCAGCCCCGCCTACAGTGAGGTCACCCCAGGCTGTGTTGAGACAACATCAGCCAAATGCCATGGCAATAAACCAGGTTGTCAGCCCCGCCAGGATGGGAGGCCAGGAGAGTCCGAGGGGGTGAGGGTGTGGATCAAGCAGAAAAATACGCAGCTGGGACCTAGATCACAGATGAGCAAAGAGGGTGGTGTGGAGGCTCTCAGAGCCTCTTCTGTAAATGGGCAGTCACCCACTGGTCAGGAACTAGTGACATACAAAAAGGCACATCAGCACCCTGGAACCCCACAGGGTGTGAGAAGAGTAGGGCAGAGCTTGGTGTAGATCAAAAGTCATCGCCAAGATTCCGTTTACAAAATGAACAAAGAAAGGTTCAAAACTGTGTGGATCCCATGATGACATCTGCTTTGAAAAGGGAATTTCTATAAGAATACATATTTACAGCCAGGCTCGGTGGCTCAGCCTGTAATCCCGCGCCTTTGGGAGGCTGAG